TTGTGCTCCTTTGGTTTATTTTCGGCTTGTTCTCCTTATGTCCCCTCAGACCGCGACAGCACCGTGCTGCGTTTGTTCGTTTCGAGGTTGTGCTCCTCTCTTGCTCATATGAAAGATATCGACGATTTATTCTTGGTCGCCAAATTGTTTCGTGCTTATCTCTTTCGTTCGCGAGACTTTGTGGTGTGAAAGCCCCTCTCCCCCGCCCCACCAGCTTTCATATGTTTTGGCTCGCCCTTGTTCTGCGTGTGCCGCCCCGTTTTATGGTTCACCCGCTCCGCTTGTCTCCATTGAATGTTGTCTGTTGGTTCCTTATGACAGTTGCGAACTTGTTCTCCATTCGGAAACCAATTGTAGCCAGAATGTATGAGTGCTTGAAGTTGTTTTACGGATTCAGCGGTGTACTGAGTGATCACCAATTTTGTTATCCCCGGAATACGTCCCGTGCTCTCCACAGAATGCTGGCTATTGTTTCCGTATGAGAAATGCAAACATATTCGCACTTCGGATGCCGTACATTTGTGATTGAATTGTTGGTTCCATGTGAGAAATGAGAACATATTCACACTTTGACTCCATGTACTTTGTGATATTTGGAAAGTCTCCGTGCACTTTGCAATGTGGGATCGTATGATATTTCGCGTTCAATGATTTTTTGAAACGTCTTTGTGTGCTTTGCAATTTGCCCTCGAATGAATTTTCTGCCTTGAATGGTTTCTGGTACCTGTTCGTGTGCTGTGAGAATTCACCTTTGGAAAAACACTAGGCAACTTGAGATGTTTTCACCTCGATGTTTGCGATGTCTCTGTGTGCTTTGCAATTTGACTTGTGCTTGAAGTTGTTCAACGGATTCAGCGGTGCACTGAACTGTTGGTTCCATATGGGAAATGAGAACATATTCGCACTTTGGCTCCATGTACTTTGTGATTTTTGAAAAGCTTCCGTGCACTTCGCAATGTGGCATTGTATGATATTTTGCGTTCAATTTGGAAAGTCTCTGTGCTTTGCAATTTGCCCTTAAATGAATTTTCTGCATAGAATGGTTTTTGGAAACTGATCGTCTGCTCTGAGTCTTTACCTTTGGAAAAACAGTGTGCAACTTGAGATGTTTTCACCTCGATGTTTGCGATGTCTCTGTGTGCTTTGCAATTTGACTAGAGATGTTTTCATCTCGATGTTTGGGATGACAAGAGATACTTGTATGAATGGATATGAATCTTCTACACAGAAAGATTTGATGGCGTTTTCAACCCATGATATAGAAATGACAAGCCAATTTTCATATTAAATCGTCGCGCTGATGGACTGCGCAACTGCTTCTCCATCAAAGTGCGAGTTCAATCGCACTTCTGGTGTGAGCCCTGAGCAATTCCCTTGCACTTTGCTTCACGTCGAGGAGGGAATCGAACGCACCGCCTGTAAGCGCCTACACATCATGAAACAAGAGCACGTCCCAATTGGAACATCGTCGGATCCTCACCTCATTGACTCTCAAGATGACTACAGTCAACAACGGTAGGATGGCAGGTCCGCCTATCCGATGTGGATCTCACGGTGGAGTGCGAAACTCTGCTCTCAAAGATCCAGACTGGGTAGAAGGTCCTGCAAGCAGCCGCTGCTTGCTTGTAAGGCATCTTATGATGTGTCGATATAACCGAAATCCAGAACTGCTTGGTGAGCATCTAGTGCTACGCCAATGAGTTCCAAACACGGCAACAAAGTTCCCTAAGAGTGTTCTTTGCCGGGTCCTTACCACATCGACTTTCAAGATGACTACAGCCAACAACGGTAGGATGGCAGGTCCACCTACCCGATGTGGATCTCACGGTGGAGCGTGAAACTCTGCTCTCAAAGATCCACACCGGCTAGAGGGTCCTGCAAGCAGTCGGTGCTTGCTTGTAAGGCATCTTATGATGTGTCGATATGACAGACATCCAAAACTTCTTAATGAGCATCTAGTGCTACACCAATATGTTCCAAACACGGCACCAAAGTCCCCTGACAGTGTTCCTTGTCGGGTCCTCACCTCGTCGACTCCCTCAAGATGACTACAAATGACAGCGGTAGGATGGCAGGTCCACATATCCGATGTGGATCTCACGGTGGAGTGCGAAACTCTGCTCTCAAAGATCCACACCGGTTAGAAGGTCCTGCAAGCAGTCGCTGCTTGCTTGTTAGGCATCTTATGATTTGTCGATATAATCGACATCCAGAAGTGCTTGGTGAGCATCTAGTGCTACGCCAATAAGTTCTAAAAACACGGCAGCAAAGTCCACTGAGAGTTTTCTTTGTCGGGTCCTCACCTCATCGACTCCCTCAAGATGACTACAGCTAACACCGGTAGGATGGCAGGTCCACCTATCCGACGTGGATCTCACGGTGGAGTGCGAAACTCTGCTCTCAAAGATCCATACCGGGTAGAAGGTTCTGCAAGCAGCCGTTGCTTGCTTGTAAGGCATCTTATGATGTGTCCATATAACCGACATCCAGAACTGCTTGGTGAGCATCTAGTGCTACGCCAATATGTTCTGAACACAACCGCAAGGTCCCCTAAGAATGCTTTTGGCATTGGAGTCCTCTGACCGCCGACTGTTTGGCACTTCGTGAAGGTTGACACTTCTTGAAGGTGGTCTACCACTTCTTAAAGGTGGTCAGTCACCAAACAGATAATGACCTGACATCGACCTCGATAACTGCGAATTGACTCGCTGTTCAACTAGAGTCTCTCTCTCTCTCTCTCTCTCTCTCTCTCTCTCTCTCTCTCTCTCTCTCTCT